GTAAAACAGTACCTTCAGTGCTGCGTCGTGTCTAGAGAGATACTTGCTCTGGGCCAGCGCACTGCATCCTGACAAGATATGTGCCACACTCTCTGGAGCCTTGCCGCATAATCTGCACCTCACCTCGCCTTCTCCGCTTGTGTGGGTCTTCTGACTCGTGTATACTCGCGTTGGCAATAGCTGCTCGTATAGCTCGACGAGTCCAGCAATTGTGTGTGATGGGCAGTTCTTCCACTCTGTGAGCCATCAGAAACACCCATCGGCACTCAAACTCTCATCCTGCAGCCTGGTAGTCACTAGACGCCCTTGCCATCGTTGGTTTCTGATCTCATCCTGTAACTTCTCAATTTGGCACCTCCGCAGCTCTTTCTTGATCCCTTGCGCGTGTTCCAAATCCAGCTCCAGCCCCAACTCCTGCGCGCACTTAGCCGCTTCTTTAAAAATGGACCTACGCCCCATCCTTGCCGCTTGCTCTTAAAACTCCCGTACCATTCCCAGTGTACGATCTTCATTACCATGGGGTCTGACTGCACCCTTGATTTTTGTGGCTTTGTACTCCATTTCAACAGAGCGCAATCCCCGCCCTCCTTTACTTCTTGGTATATAAAAAAAAAGCCATTTGAACTACATAGGTGTCTACCCCCACTCTCGACAACAATCTTGCGCGCTTCCCTATCGATCTGCTTAAGCTCCATCACCGGACACTGTTGTGTCCACATAAGATATCCAACAACAGGCAATGCAAACTGATTTGACGCTACCACTCGATTATAATCGGACAAGGGACTTGTCCAAATAACTGACAATCGTCTAAGATACTCTCTTGCTGCACACTCCAGGACCAACTTATCCTCCTCGTGCCTAACACTCTCAAGTACTCCAAGGAACTTGTACCGCTCACCATCATCAAGACATGGTATTCTAGTGGACTCCACAACTCTCCCCCCTGAGACAGCAGTCACATGGGCCACCGCACACTTCTTTAGGTTCCACTGAAGCCCCACATCCTCCATAGATGACTTAATTATCTTCATGACTCGTTCAAGCCTACCCTCCGATGCAGCGAAGATCTTGATGTCATCAATATACAAGAGTCCCGTAACCTTGCTGTTAATAGGTTTGGACATACGGTATCCTAGCGGTTCTGATCTTCCATGCCACTAGGTTCAAGCATACAGTGAACAGCCTCGGGCACAATGCATCCCCCTGTGGCAACCCTCTGTTGAACTTAATCCTTTCGGAGGTCTGTCTCCCTTCCCTTGTGATCGCCACTACCTTTGTGTTCCAACTCTTACATAGTTTAGCAATGACTTTACACAACCATGTGGGAAACCTGTGTAACGCCATCACCCCATTCAACCAACTATGATCTACAGAATAGTACGCCTTTTCAACATCAATCCAGGCCACGCTCAAATTACGCCTCTTCCTATGACAATCTAACGCAACTGTTCGGTCGATCAATAAGTTGTCTGTTGTTCCACTGCACCCTGCACGTGCCCCCCTCTGCGCACCCTCCATTAGATCATTCTCCTCAAGATGCTGGTTTGTCGTGACAAGCAGACACGAAGTGAACCACTTATAAAGTGTGTTTAGACAAGTGATGGGTCGTTGGTTGTCGCTGGTAAACTCTCCGGGTTTTGGGATTAACGTTGTTTTCCCTTCAGAAAACCATGCTGGATACTCTTCCTCATACTCGGAGATCACACGGAATGACGAAATAACACCCTCATGCAGCGCTTGGGCACGTTTCCACCAAAAATTGGCGATACGATCCGGTCCAGGTGCGCTCCAATTCTTCTTCCGCGCTAAAACGTTTACAGCCTCACTTGTAACTATGTCCCAGGCCTCCTCCACTGAAGGAGGGACACGATCGTGAATAATAGCTCGCAAGTCATGCAGCCATTCCGCGCTTCCGTTTCCCGTTCCGNGGAGATGCAGCGCTTGGGCACGTTTCCACCAAAAATTGGCGATACGATCCGGTCCAGGTGCGCTCCAATTCTTCTTCCGCGCTAAAACGTTTACAGCCTCACTTGTAACTATGTCCCAGGCCTCCTCCACTGAAGGAGGGACACGATCGTGAATAATAGCTCGCAAATCATGCAGCCATTCCGCGCTTCCGTTTCCCGTTCCGCTCCCTTCCCATAATTCCTTCCAAAAGCTACTTGCTTCTTCGATATTAACAAACACCTTCTCCTCTATTTGCTCATCCCGTTTCCCAGGGTCTACATATTTTGGACGCTCACTCTCTTGGTCGTTAGCCAACACTCTTCTCATGCCCGCATATACCCGGCTAGTATCATCTTTAAATTGTTGATTAATCAACCTTGCTTCCTCTAGCTTGTTGCCTCGCACAAAGCCTTTCTTCAGTTTTCGTAAAGAGGATTTCTTCTTCTCAATATACCCGACAAGTGATGCTATCGATAACGTGCGGCATTCCTTGTGCAAAATCTCCCGGTTCCTTCTCCCTCTCTTGGTGAGCTTTCGGTTTTCTTTCAAGCGATCCACTTCCGCTTTGGCAATTGAAATCTGTTTCCTTATTTCACATACTTTTTCTACGTACAAACGGCGCCGTTTCTGTTGCTTACTCTCTCCAGCTGATGGTCTGTTCAGGCCTTTCTTTTTCCAACCTTTGTACAACAAAAATGCAATAACAACAGAGTACAGCACGCAGCTTGCGATCCAAAGATACGTGAACGGGTTGTCCGTAGGGAGTACTTTCTGTGGTCTCATTAGCTCTGCTAAGGCTTGATTGATCTTCTCGAGGTCGCGCTTGGTTGGCTTCTCCTTAATACGGGTGTCAAACTCGCGAGCTTTGTACTGGCCATGGCAGGTGTTAATTTGGCGTAAGAAGGTAATTGATGATTCCAGCAAAGTGCGTGCCTCTTCACCGATAGTACTTGTCACTCCCTCGGGACTAACTCGTTCTCCCATATGCAAATCCAAATCTTCCTACACAGCACACGAATTAGCATTTTGCAACACCCAATTCTTCGCAAACACTCTCTCCCTCCTTCCTTCTTTCACTTCCCCCAATCCCTGCACTCAAATTCTCTGCAACACTACCGAAAGTCTTCTCTAGTCTGGCGGCTTGATCCCGCAGGTTTTGACTCCTCAGTGCGAAGACTCGTCAGTGCGTTATTATTATTTTCATTATTATTATTATTATTATTATTATTATTATTATTAAATGTGTATACCATCTCATACAGCCCCACAACTCCACCTCAACATAACGTATAAAAGTAGCGTTGAGTTCCAAATGGAAATTAAAATAAGTTACCGTCGCGGTTGCGGTTCTCAGACGACGCAAATTTTGGTCATTTCACGCTGTTGTTTTGCAAAGGACGGCTAAGAAATGTACTAAATTTTAAAATGCACTTGCTGAGCTATTGTTCTGCCCATTAGATCTTTCGTTTTTCCACCGTGGTTTGCTTAAAGTCTCAAATAATTAACTAAAGAAAGGGAGAGCTAGGCCTCTGGAAACAATAAGACGGTTCAATTACATATCATGTTTGTTGTACCTCCTGCAGACTTCGAGCAATCCCTGCTTTTCGGCGAAGTCCATCGCGCGAGGTAAGAAAAAAATCAGTGAAAAAAAAATTGCTGTTAGCGCGCCGCGGGGAACTTTTGAGGTGACGCCGATGTGCTGGAAAAGCTCCCTGAGTGAAGCGCTCGAAACAGTGAAATCTAAATAGACCCCAGACGCTTTTCCCAGATAAAAAACAGGAACACTCCTTTCATAAAACAATACTGTTTTGACAATCCTTAGCTCTTGTTTCGATTGTTGGAGAGGGCAGGGTTATAGATCATATTTGTCTTCCTCTTTCATAGAAAAAAAGAGCAGACCCTTGTAATTGTTCACGAGCTAAAAATTCAATTTTTCGAGAAAAACCTACAGTAACAAAATAACAACTCTCTGGGTGAACTAAACAAAACGCTAGTTGTCGTGAACATCAATTTTTTGATATGAGAGGGACAGTTTTGGTTTACAAACGCGAAATATAAGAAAATAATGCACTGTGTTGTGCCAAGTGTAGCGGTTATTACTGGAGCGACAAATCACCTTATCGACGGGATCTCTAGCGGCTTACTGAAGTCATTGTTCATATTCGGGTAGAATCCGGTTTGGGTATTAGTGCCAAGTTCTGCTACTCTTGAATTATTTTTAGAGCAACGATTACTTCTCGGTTGAGTTTGGGGAGGATGGATTTTGGTGAAATGAAATTATCCTATTTACAGCTACGCCACAATGTTCAGTATAAATACTCATGCAAAACGCAATGAATTACATCTGCGAGCAACGACACTTTATTGATCGTCTGTGGCAGGTCATGGACCAAAAACAGATTCTTTTTTCAGAACCGAAAGACTTCGATTCCGTTAAATTCAGTGCTAAAATCCTTATAGATACATGTAAATGAAAAAACTTCATACTTGTTCTAAAAGGTTCAACTCAGGAGTCACGTAAGGTGGAATCCAGGGAAAGCTAATATCATAGCAAGGCCATTATTCTGTAACAGGAACTATAGAACCAACTAACCACAACAACTTTGAGCATGAAGCTTACTAAAACCAAATTTCAAATCTCCCTTAGGACCTAAAATCATTCATACACTAAATTGGTATAATATAAGTAGATGAGGATGTAATACTTCGGAAGTTCCGGATAGATATACAAAACATTTGTTTTCTCAATTCAACTTCAAAAACCTGACAAGATGATTCAAGCTTTGATCATTTTATATTGCTGTATGCAAGCTTAGATAGATCGTTCATTAAAAAGAAACACCTCGCAGTCCGAAGACTGAATTACGTGTATAATATACAATACAAGAAACAAAATTCATAGTTAAAATAGTTTAAAAATCTTAATAATAAAAATATACAAATCTATTAAAAAAGTTTAACTTAGGATGATCTTGTGTTAAAAAAAATATACATACTTAGACATATATATTTACCTCCTTAGGCTATGGCTAACAATAAAAGATTTTTTCAGACGATCAGTCTTGCACACTGGCACGTTAAACTTCCTATTGTTGCGCAGCTGCCTGTGGTGCTCAGCTTTAGGTGGGAGCAGACCTGCGAGCTTGCGATTAATGTCAAGAACAATGTCATTAAAAAGATCAAACGATAGATACATTTAAATGAAAAAACTTCATACTTGTTCTAAAAGGTTTAACTCAGGAGTCACGTAAGGTGGAATCCAGGGAAAGTTAATATCATAGCAAGGCCATTATTCTGTAACAGGAACTATAGAACCAACTAACCACAACAACTTTGAGCATGAAGCTTACTAAACCAAATTTCAGAGATAAAACCAAAAATCGGCGATAAATTGTATGGAGCATTTATAACCTACAAGTCCGATTATACAATGAGTAAATACGCTTCGGCGATAAATTGTATGAAGCATTTATAACCTACACGTCCGACTACACAATGAGGAAATACGCTTGTTGTGTCACCTTTATTTAGAGTCCTCGAGTGATTTCCTCTCTTCTTGTGCCTCCTTTTCCTTCTCTGCCAACTCTTCATTCGCTTTCTTCAAGTCAGCAGCTAACTTGTCGGCTAGCTTGCGCACATTCTTCTTCGCCTCTTCGATGGTAGGATTTTCTGTCAGGTAGGAGTAAAGATCTTTTCTAGTTTCCTTGATCTGTTTCATGTACTCTTCGCACACTCCAACAATAGCAAGCCACTTGATATATTCCCGCAGGACTTTTCTTTTGAAAGGATCCCCTGTCCAAACTTCCAGCCGTGTTTCTTCAGGCCCCTTCATGGCACATTTCACTAACCGTTGCACGTTCCCTTTCGCTAAAGACCCGAAGGAGCTCTGCATCTGATGCCAGAACTGGGCTGCATTCATCATAATGGCAGAGAGAGATTTAAGAGCACCAATGGAGTTGTGCAAGGCGTTGATGGCGGCATCTGCTAAAGCGTCATCATCTCGGCAACTCTTTATCTTCTCTGTGAACTCTATGCACTGAAGAAGGGCGTCTCGACGCATGTCTCGTTGCTTCTGCATTTCATCCAGGTGTTTCATCTTTTCTTCGTTTGCCATTTTCATGGCCTCTTTGTACCTTGACTGGTCGCCTAAGCTCTCCAGTTTTTCCATCATCTCTTTAAAATCTCCTCCTAGTCCAGCCTTAACAGCACCCACTATACTCATCAAACCATCTGCCAATGCTGCAAATATGCTGCCCTGCTTGTCAAACACTTTTTCTTGTCTTTTTTCAGCCTGGGTATAAAGCTCACTCGCCTTGTCTTCAGCTTCGAGTGCTCTCTTCTCTATCGTTTGCGCCTTCTGTTTCTGCATTTCAAATTCTTTTCTTTCTCTCAAAAGAGCTCTCTTTCTCTCCTCTTGAGTGCCCTTTGCTCTCTGGGTATCTTGTAGGGCATCAATTGCATCTTTTTTTACCTCCTCAAAGTCATCGTGCAGCTTCTCCGCCGCCGTGGCCATTTCTTTCGCCACGTCAGTCAACTGCGAGAGAGTTTCCATCGCCATCTCTTCCAATCCATCCAGCAAGTACTGATAGGCGCCTCGGATCTCCTGAATTACATCGTTCGAAGCTCTCTTAAAGTTGTGAACAGTGACGGCCGATTGGTCAGCCAGGTGTGTGATCTTGTAGCCAACTTTCTGTACTTTAATCTGTATCTCAGTGTTGCCTGCTACACCATTGTACGCCACACGAATAAAGCTACCAAGTTTTCCAAGGTCATCCGCAAGGCTTGCAAGATCGAGTGAAGTAAGTAGATCGCTTTTAGCCATTAGCACCTTGACACTGTTTGGACTTGGAAGGGTAAGAAGGTCGAAGGTTTCTCCATCAATTTCCACGTTTGTCTTGGGAGAAAGATCCATTTCTTTAACTATGTTGAGTCAAGCAAAAATTACACTACACGAAGGGCTGCTTTGCATTTAAATGGTTGTATGACGCTAACAATTTAAGACTTCCCACTATTCGTGGAAACTCACTGCATTGTTGATATGATTGATGTCCATAGATAATGCGTTTTCTCTGGATTGGTCAGTGGAGCGTTTATTGACGAATCCAGACAAGACTCAAACAATAAAAATCAATAACTTTGCATGTCACATTTCAATATCCTCTACGCCTGTTCTTCATTGCTTACCATGTCAATCTCCACATTTATCTATTTTGACATTCTGCTCGTAAGATATGCTACGCGATCACCATCACCATCTCCGTTCATTTAATTTTGTATTTTTATTTGTCGATGGAAGCAGTGAAAAGAATATAAGTCGAATAAGCTCCTCTCAGTTCCACGAATAAACACCCCCTCAAGGTACAAACCACTCGTTGATTACCTCCGAGAAGACGCTTTTTTTTCTTAGAATTTGAAGGTATGAATTGTTCCGTATTGCTGACTCATTCCAGTAATAAATACTTAATAGTCACAAACATCAACTCGCAATTTTTTAAGATGAGCTATGATTGTCATTCTTTCGCGGGTTTAACATGTCTTCTCTATTATGGTCATGTTGTTTTATCTACCCCATGTCAAACCATTTCCTGTATTACCAAATTTGGAAGAAACGAAAAAAGTCATTGTTATCTACAGCGTTAGTTGAATTTCGTGGAAAAGAATGAATAGCTGTCAATAACATCTGGACGCAGACATCGTTATCAATTCACTCTCATAATATATGCTTATTCAACGCCGCGAACGTACACATCTCGAAGAACTTACTCTTCATGGCGCTCGTTTCAGTATGCGAAAAGTGTTTCAACACCACAGAATCAGCACTGAAAGCAATGAAAATGGGAGACATTCGCACTTCAGAGGTTCTTTTGAAATCACTTGGAAAGGATGGTTTTTAGTACAAGAACAGGCATTTGTATATTGTGGTCGGCCAAGAGAGGCTGAAGATGAACACAAGCGACAAGTAGAAGCCATTACCCAACAGATAAACAGATTATATCAGGAACAGAAACAGCACGAGAAAAGGCAAAAAGAAATAGAAGCAAACAAATCTTCACTAACGGGCAGGAAGAATCAATACATCCAAAGCAAGCAAGAGGCATTAGAAAAGTGTCAAGAAGCAGAGAGGAAAAAGAGGGAAGCCGAAGAAAAACACGAAGAATTGAAGACGTATTGGTGGGTGCCTATTTATGGTCAGTACCTTTCTGTGCGCGAAATATTTGAAGAAAATAGTGAGAGGGCAAAAGCTGCTTCAAGAGATATGGCCAGTTATGAAAGGGATACCGAGGAGGCCGAATTAGTGATTGAATGGGCCAATTCAGGAATTTGTCAGGTAAGTTGCAAATTATCGAGGGTAACTTTGATTGGTAACCGGTAAAGTCGCTCGGGAGTCATCTCGCCCGAAGTTATGTCGCCAACAACCTGAGTCATGTCGCCCGAAAAATTAATTCAAGTCGCCCGAAGAACAAATGCTAAAAGGATCAGACTTACAGTCTGCAAATAGGCGATGAAGTCGAGAAATATTTATCACCATAGCGCTGTTGGTTTTCGAAAACACCATCAAGATGATGATTAGAATATAAATATGTTCAAGAGACGACTCTAAAAGTGTTCTTCGTTTCTGATAACAAAATGAAGGGTTGTTTGTGAAGTGTGAACTCGTTTCATTCCCACGGGAGTTTCGTAATCGATCAAAAGCATTGTTCGTATCTATCGATAAGCTTTGTTCGTTTCTGTCATAACAAAATCCCTTGGGGCACGGAAGGCGCACAGATCTTGCTCCAAAGAACAAACTACATTTGGAAAGGCTCCCAGCTAAAATCATCTTCCCGAGGAGATCTAATTCGGATTGAGAGGAAGTGTGTTAGGCCGAGAGGCTTTCATTGCAAGATGTTTTTGATAAGATTTTTATAGTTTGATGCTTGTTTATGCTATATGAAAGAAATCTGTTTCATTAGGCTGAGGAAGACATGCAAAGGATTTCCGAGAAAGTGGAACAGCTCAAAAGACAACGAAAAGACCGCCAAAATGAACTGGGTGACGTTAAAAGTATGGTGGTATTCATCCTACAAGCTATTTCTTTCTGGAAGGATGTAGTCGAGCTTACCAGGGCAGCAACAGTGAAGACTGAAAACATCCAAAAGATCGTGGAACGGGCTCGGAAGGAAGATTCAGTTAGGATACTCACAAGCAGAGGTACTCAGATTAAGATGAAGTCGTTTAAAGAATGCTGGATGGATTTAGTGCAGACCATCACCTCTGACGAGAACAAGGTAATTTTTCAAAGAAAGGTACCACAGGAGGCACTCTGTATCCAAACAGAATCTTGTTTTCTTGCTTTTCATAGTAGACTGCTTGACGGTTTAAAGTTAATACATAAATTAACCGCCTTAATGAATATGAGACTCACGAAACTATTTAACAGCCAGGTTGCGCATAAAAGGATTAACATGTATCTTTGACTAAAGCACTCAAGAAGTAGCTATAGGAAAACAAGTCTACTATGCAATGTATTTCACTAAACCTTTCATGCCATAGCCGCTTATTTGTGCTTTAGGACAGAACAAGGAACAGACAGGGCTTCTTTATTTGCTAACCTTAGTACCTTAAAGAGCTGAGTCTGTTTAAATGGACGAAAGGGAGAGATTAATAAGAGCAAAATTCTTCACACTGAATCTGGTAAGGGTTTAAAATCTGAGGTAAAGGAAAGTAAATATCAAGGTTTTCTTGAAAAAGGTTTTTATGATACCGAAGAGTATTTGTAGGAAGTCATACACGACTAATCGTTTTGCCATCATTCAACACGTTCATGTGTACGTTGGTCAGATTGTTGAATGATGTCCTCAAAAGCTACACTCGAATTTAGTCGTTCAGTAACGAAACATTAAGGTAAAACTAAATCTACTATATCAAATCATTTAAAATTTAAGGAAATTCACTGATCTGTATATTGAAGTGAACACTTTTGAAATACCGAAAATGATCTAACAGAAGTCCAATGGTAAATGTCTTGTAAATTTAAGGGTCCAAAGGGGGGTTTAGTGATGGGAGGTGTCTAAAAGAGAGAAGCCTCAATTGTAAAAATATAACAAGCACGTCAAAACTATGTTTTAGAAAAGTATAAGAAGAGTTTGTAATCTAGTCCATCCATTGAGAGAAAACCTTATCATTCTTTCAAATCTCAAAGTCTATGTCAGAATCCTCTTTAACCCTCTATGATCACCAATTAAAGTAGCTCTTCATTGTTAAACAAATTCTCCCCAACAGCACGCTAGCAAATGTATAGAGAACAGTATGGAGAATATGCAAACTGATGTTAGGGTGTAAAGGGTTCATGATCACTGTGTTATCATTGTTGGTCAGTATTGACTTGGAGGGCATTTAGGAGATTTGGCTCACTCAGTACAAAGACTAGTTCCCAGAACTGAGACCAAAAAGAGCACTATCCCCACTTTCAACTTGACACTGTTCAAGAGGCAATGTGCACCAAATTGTAAAATCAGACGATGTATTCTCTGGCAAGTTGCCCCTGACAATCTATTGCCGCCACGACTTTATCTTTTTAACATCCCTTAATAAATTTGTTCTAACAACGCCGATTTACCAATTGTTAAAGTGTTTTCAGCACATCCAAAACAAACAAATGACACTATTCATCAATTTGCTATATTTACATAACAAATAAAGTTTTGTAAATGAACTAGTTTCAGGACCACCTAGAAGCTAACCTCGAATTCACTAGTAATTTTGGTTGATAATGCAAATTGGTCAACGTAAAGAGTTTCAAAGCTGATGTTTCAAGCACTGGCCCTTTGTCATTCGCTCCGAGACAAAGGGCTAGCGCTTGAAACGTCAGCTTTGAAACTCTAACGATGGCCAATTTACATTTATCAACTCAGTTGATAAAACAAAAGTACTTTGTTACTCCCAATGACGCAGCACCACAGTTTCATTAGAAACTTACCCTCTTTATCCATTTGAATTCATTAGCACATACTTAAAAACTTATTCGTTCTTGACCAGGCGTGAGGTCAAGATGGCCGAGTTCTTTTCTTGCGTAACACTGCTCAAAACGAACGAGGTTTATATCCAGCCATCTTGACTTGACCTGCTTGGTCAAAAAGGATTTATCATAGAGCAAAAACAACATCGCTTCATCAAAATCAAGACTTTGTTTTTTTTTTCCAGGAAAGGGAGAGAGCCCACTGTTTTTGTAGCGCAATAAACCCGGCAACGAATGTCGTTTATGTTTTCCATTTAGATGAACCCATATAGACCGCTTTGGGAAGGCAATCAGAATTCAGGATTTGCGTCATATTGCCTACGGGCACTGCCACCGATACAATAAATGCATTTAATATTCCATAAAAGACCTTAGGATTAAGATGATCATGTCAACAAATATAATTATCATGGTAATGATAGTCATTATTTAATTTAATAATTTAATAATACGTTCTTATATAGCGCATTAAAATTGAACTCTATCAGGGAAATAAAATTATTTGGAAGCTTGAAAGGTGCATTGCAAGCGATTAAAAAAGAAGGACGCGAAGTTGTCATTCCCCTTGGACACGATCCTGATGACGAGAAAGAAAACTCTACTTGTCGGACGACGCAGCATGTACTTGTTGCGAAAGATGAAGGCTTGATTTCAGACGAGGCATACCATGAGTTGAGGATGGTTTTACCAGATGAGGAAAGAAATATCCTTCTGCCAATCAGTGTTCTGAAACAGGAGAGAAACATGCAAAATGGGATCATTGCCTTGCATTCAATTTCAGAGGTCTGTGAAAACAAATATAATTTATTTGAACTACATGTACCTAACTACCAAAGCCAAGCGAGACTATAGTGAATAAAATCTGACCAGTGTAGAAATCACAAAAATTCAATTACAAAGAAAAAATCATCAAATTGAATAGACCTCTATGGATTTTCTGAAGAAAAAGTTAATACTTTATTCTTATTTACCACAGGCTAAGAAAGGAGATGGAGTAAGACGTGATATAAAGGCAATTTTGAGTCAGCTGCTGTCCATCCAAAGTATAAAGAACACTGTACAAGCTAATGGCAACGAACTCCGCCTGCACTTTGCTGCTGATGGAAGACGCACCAGCAATAAAATTGGCACTGTCATGGCTGTGTTCAATATTCTCGATGAACAAGAACATGACTGTGACCACCAGTACCACATCGCTCTGTATAATGGTAATATTTTAAAATCCAGCAGTTTTATAAAGAATGCCAGCTTTTAAGAGACGGTGAATATTAAACATTGTAAATTTATATCTCTACAGGAAAGGAGGATTATTTAGAAGTAAAAACTTGTCTTGGGCCTGTGTTTGCAGAAGTTGATGACCTTCAACAAAATGGTATCGAGGTGGACGGAATACACTACAAAGTAATATGGTAAATACATTATTTTATGTCATAAAATAATTTTTTTTTCATGAATTACTAGAGATTATGTAAATATTCTAGCTATGAACATAACTTACTATATGTCTCAGTACATGATAGGTCCACTGTGAATTAGGATCCATTCAACTTGAAACAGGAAATGGTTCACCCAATGAAGCATTTTTCATTTTGTTTTCCTAAGGTACTGCTGCTCAGACTGGAAATTTCTCGCCATGGCCTATGGACTAAATGCTGCCACTGGAAAATATTTTTGCCTATGGTGCCACAGCACAAAAGCAAAAATTTGTGATTTCTCAAGTAAGTGTACATCTAATATACTCAATTATGTTTCAAAAGATAAATTTTGTAGGCAATATTTTGTTTAACTACCATCTCATACAATAACATTGCCATGACAAATAGACATGTTTCAGATACAGTGTGCCCATCATCAGTTGGAAGGATGTTTACAAGTTAGAAAACATAAATATATGCAGGTGATACTTAAAAATGTGGCTATAAATACAAAATGCAATATTTATTTGGCATTTTCCTAATCAACATTCTGTTTTATAATTTTTTTTTAGTACAAGACTGGCCAATTGAGAGGAATCTTCAACAATGTATGAAGAACAGTACAGAAAAAACCACTGATGGAAGGAAAGGCTCAATTCATGAGCCATTAATCTCAATTCCATTCACACAAGTTATTGTCGACACTCTTCATCTTTTTCTTAGGATCATGGGGCTTCTCTTCCACCAAGTAAATACACATTTTAACCTTAATACTACTGACTTCATTGAGTGAGGTCCTTGGTACTCATGCGAAAATTAGTCAGATGACCTCCATCTCTAGTGAATCTTCAAATTTGTCTTAGATGTTTTTATGGACGATAGAGAAGTAGTACTTTGTTGAGATAAAATAAAATCGTAGACTTGAAATTCTTGGCAATATAATTCAACATTGATCTTTTCTCAGCATAGACAATTGAACAAAACCCAGCCAAAAATTAATCTGTGATATAACTGAAGCCGCTAAATAGAATACAAGGTACTTACTATCATATATTTTTCTCCAAATTTTTCCTTTTAGGATGTGACTCCATACATACATGGTAAGATCCATTTCTCTGTTGTGATGATAATTTCAATGATTTCCAATCCTAACAGTAATTATAAAAGAACTTATGAAACCCTATATTTGAAATATGAAAAATATATTTTGTTTTGCTCCAGCTCTAGTCTATCATGTCCCTCAGTTCCTCGAGAAATGCGGAGGGCTTTCTATTTTCAATTGTCAGCCAGTTGAAAAGAAAAACCACCAACAATCAAGAATGTTCCACCANCACTTAAAACACACGAAAGGACTCTAAAGCACACTTCACTCTGATAGGGCAGAAAAACACAAAGATTTTCTGGCACCAATCAGATGGCAGAACGACTGCGACCGTTTGGAACTAGTCTTGTAAGACAATGTCCCCAGGGGCTCTTCACGCCCTAACTTGAAATCGACCCACAGCCCCTGGGTCTCCGAGGATGCCATTTTCAAAGCTTTGAACTCGAAGATGAAACAAACAATATGATTGGTTAGACTACTTTGGCGCGTACAGTTCTCAACATATGTAACCCAAATAGTGATTGGTTGAAGTAGTGGAAAGGAGTGTTGTTCGAATGTGGGCAGCCGTTTGTGGGGAGAAGCGTTGCGTGACGAGACTAAAAACGGCTGCGAGGGAGACTAATTTCCTGATGGTGCTTATTATGATCACAGAAAGCCAAAGGAAGTTATGACTACTCTGGTGGGAATGATGATATTTATGCTCGTGATCACGAAGACGAAAGTAATGATGTTGATGATAGTAGTTATAATGATATTGATGACACTCATGTAATATAATGATTTATCACTGAACTCAACGACAGGGACAATGATGATGACTTTAGTGATAATCCTGATACAAATGCTCATGACCACATGGACGACAGCAGTGATAGAGATGACGGTTGCTATAATAATAATGATGATGATAATGAAATATTATCAATCAAAACTACAACAAAATTCTCCGACATAATTGGTTTTCACCAGCCTGATTTGACCACGAATAGGAAAATGTACGCATCATGCTTTTAATTGGACAGTGTATGTGTTATGCCGGTGAAATTAGACAAAACGCGTCATGTGTGCATCCTGTTGTCATGCAATTCTCAAGTTTTGGTTTCCATGAAAACAATAATCTATAGCTTGGTTGATTCGGAGATTTTGTCATAGTTCTGATTAATTAATAACAGGAAGTTGTGCTGTCCAATTTTTTTGTAATCATACCCCTGACCAACAAATCAGACTCCTACTTCGTAGTCAGTTGATTTTGTTAATCATTCCTTTGCTACAGAGTGAATTGAACTCCACTCAAGTTCTCTTGCCATTAGTTATCACTGGGCTTAAACAACAGTAAACGATCGCGAATTCAGAGCTGTTGAAAAGAAGATGTCTTTAAAATTTTAAGGACTGACTGTCTGGAAAGCTATACCTCGAGAGAGCTGCAATCATGAAATACTTTAAAGATTGTGCATTGCGGTGGGGATTTGGAGTCAACAGTGAGTTTGTGTCAGTGATCAGCTAAGTAAAAGTCTGTTGTGGGCTTAGATAAGTTTTTAAATGATAATTATCGTATTGCCTTATGAGAGTACCTCCTGAGTAAGAATTATTACACATTATTTAATCAAGTAATTCAGTTTATAGGAGCCTAACTACTTGTTCTTAAACTGTAATGCTGTTACTTTGCCAAAATGCCTTGGTTTTTATGTGCACTCTTCGGGTTTTTCTTCTGTAGAATAGTATCTGTGTCAGCATTAAAGATCTGTTGCTGGTACCAATCAGATCCCAGCATACATTATTCAGTTTGCAGCATAAGGATATGAAGCTCACACTGCGACTGCTGTGAGCAATCCAGGGCAGCCATTTTTGATGTAGTTTCATGTTGTTTTCTACCACTGTTGCAACATCAGGCAAATGATAACCAATTCGACCACGGAACATGTTTGACAACAATGAATCCTCTTTCTGTTTATCATTATGACATATAATGAATATTTCCATTAATTAGCCTCCACACTTGAGAAGGGGAAGCTTGAAACCTGTGGCTTTCTGTCTAGTTACAGATTGAATCTTCAAAAGACCTGCAATTTCACTATGTGTCAACTTATTGTTTAACTTCCACTTTTATCTTTTACATTGTTCATCCACTTTTACTTTTCATAATAATGTTGGAAACTGTCTTTGGAGGCAATCTGCATCCCTTTACATACATACAGTTTGAAACATACCTTTATAATTATGCGAAACTAGCAGTTATTATAATATCGTCTCTGTTGCTGCGACGTAAATATCATGGCACATGCATAATAATGTCCACATGCCTTCTTTCATTTATAGTTAGGCAAGGAAGTGTGCTAAGCGAGTATGTGAGAACGTGCATGAAGTAATCATTGACAGAGGTAATTTGCAGACCATATGGTTAATGGCAAATGGCAGCACAACAGAATATAAATAACTTATCACTACCATGCCAAGAACTGGGCTTTCACTCAATGTTCCTGCTGATTAATCTTTGATAAATCTTTTTATCAATATGTATTTTATCTTAAATACAAGTTCTTCTACTGTTAGTACTAGTTACCAATAGCCAGGAGTTTACCCATTCATAGCCTCTGTGTAGGCAAAATTTATCCTATTTAGGTATTGTGGGGACAAATAACTCAATTTTTTCGTGCATTTTGTAATGTCAACTTTATAGCTTTTTCCCTCTTTAGATCAATTTGATATTTTAGTAGTGTGGGACAAAGTTTTTTTAAATCATTAGATTACATTTATTGAGTTGTACGTTCACCTCAGCCTTGTTAGCTGCCACTTTGTAATCTGCATTATATCAAATAAAATGATTACTTTTGTAGCGAATTTGTTGTTTTTAATTTCTTTCACATATTTTATGTACCCCATGCTCATTAATTTACACTTATTCTTTCTGTTTTTCAGTTATCATTTATTCACTATTAATCTTGCACTTTATGTAAATTACACCACCCTCAATATTTCATGTTTCACACCCCGTCGAGCAGCGTGTGTTTTATATCGCTTCTATATAAACCTCTTCCTTGCATATATTTCCTCAGCATTTGGTAAGTTTCGTTTTGTTGTATTTTAGTATTTAGTATCTTATTTTGTTCTGTATGTTCAGTCAATAATGAGACAGCAAATTATGTCAGCCAGTTGTCAAGTTAAATGGTATTCCCAAACCCCCACCATTCTTCACTTGTTTTTATATACTCATAGACTTGCAAAGGCTTCAAGAAGTGTAGCTCAAACTTCATTTTCAAGTTCAAATACAGTTAGGGTTGTTCGAAGTTTTACCAGTCAATTGGTGTCTACTTTCCTATAAGCATATTTCTTGAACTAGTGCTTTTACCAGGCTCTTGGCTCTTGGTGATTATGAAAAAACAGGGAAAGCAAGGAATGGTAGGTGCCTCACCTGTCCAGAGGCTGGAATAGGTTAGAACTGACAGGGTAGTATTACACATTTTAAACCCTGTCACAAAAGTATTCTTGAAGAAAAGAGTTCCTGCACTTTATCAAGTACTCTCACTTGTAAATCGATGAATATTTTCTCCTTGCATCAGAAAATCATATCGCTAAGATTTAGCAAAAGTGCATCTTGGTGTTTAATCAAAAGCTTATTGCTACAGTTAGAACATGAAACAAAACATCACAACAAACCTCTCAGACAGGATGATATCAGAAATTCACTGAAAACATCTTTAGAAAAAAACTTACCTATTAAAAAGTAAGTTTGGGAAAAAATTAAGAAATAAATGGTTTGAAGTTTACCCCTACTTTCACAGAATTAGGTACAGTTTTGGCGACTTTTCATGTTGTAACATGGATGCCGTTACAGCGGATGTCGTTAGGGCGGATTACCACCGCCCAGTTAGCCAAATGGATAGTGCACTGGACTGTTGTGCGGGAGGTCAAGGGTTCGAGCCCAGGCCGGACCAACACTTAAGGTCTTAAAATAATTAAGAAGAATGTGCTGCCTTTCTATAACATCAAGAAATGGTTCGATATTCAAGTCTTCCCGGATAGGGACAAATAAATGAAGGTCCCGTCTCCTGCAGGGTTGGGGTAGGAGACGTTAATTTCCCACACACGAGATTACTGTGTGATGGATGTCCTCCCCTGGGGTGGGATGGTGGGTTTGTTGTGAAGGCCGAAAGTTAGATAACTCATTGGTTTAATTACGTCACTTTCGTTAGCTAAAGAATATATTATTGTACTGTATTGTATTGTCATTCAGCTCATGTTACAACAAAAACCAGTTACATGTAAATATCTGACGCAGTTTGATGTAATGTTATTATGGATATCCATACAGTCTGAGAGGTTTGTAGTCTTCATTTGGCACATTAATGGATGGTTCAATGACTTCAAACAATATGATATGTGCGTTTTGGTGCTGCTTTCCCATTTAAAATGTAAACATCATGAAGTGGCCTAAAAAAGGACAAAACAAAAAAGTCAAAACATGCACACTGTAAAAGATTGAACTCAAATAGGGAAAATAACAAAGGAAGAGAATAGTCAAGGCATTGAAAATTTAAGATAAAAAATCAACTCTGCACTCCACATCCCCTTGAAAACTTGAGAAGGAAAAATGCAATTTCGGTAACTAAAGCAGACCACTTATGATGATTACTCTCAGTGCCTTCCAGCGTAGCAATAGAAGACAAAGTTTTCTGGATGTCAAATTGTGCTGTGTACAATACATTTGAAAAATCGAATAATGCACTGAGAGTACCTATCACCTGGGTCTGTCTCCACTAATCCTATCCTCTTCACAACACCGATCCCATCGCTGATGCAACCAAATATGGTATGTTTACCTGCAGAAAATTATGCAATTGTCTATTACCTACTCTCATGAAAATTAGTAAGGAGCAATGGTCATTATGAGATTCTCAACTAGCATCAACTTTGAACTTAAGGCATCCTACTAAAATTTTAATGTTACAATAATACTGGAACAAAAAATAAATAAATAAAAGGAAGCATCAGACACAATCAATAGGATTAGATTGGACTTGACCACAGAAATGCAGATCAAATTAAAGATCTGATGTCAAAATTTTGAGTCAAGCATTAATTTTGTAAGAGTTTGAGTTCCATCTACTAGACATGGAAGATATTACAAGATACACAACTGGCATCAAGTTTAAAGGTAAAACTTCATCTTGATATTGAAATGTTAAAATTATAATACCGAAAGTAAAAAACATGACAAAAACAAGCATCAGATATAACTAATTACATTAGATAAGACATGACCACAGAAAAGCTGATCAACTTATGGATCTATGTCCACATTTTGAGTCTAGCATTAATTTTGTGAGTGTTGTTACCTCCATCTGTTAGATATGGAAGATAATATAAAGTTTTGAAAGTATAAGATCCCAAAAAATGCAGAAAACTTAATAAAAGGTTCTGACGGGTGCTTGTTGGGCCGTATATTTTTTGTTGTATGCTTCATTTATTTACTTCATTCCATCAGTGGTTCCCTTGTGTATTAAAAGAAACTCAACAAGTTTCTTACCATCAAGCCACTGTGTTGGAGCTAAGGTGATAAAAAACTAGCTTCCATTTGTGTTTGGACCACTACCTACAACATAGGAACAACTTTAGTGAATGAAATGTATCACTAAATATTTCCTTTTCTTTGTCTGCCGTGTTCTCGATAGGTATTCTTTTGTCAAAAAAGTGCTTTCCATTAAGGCTTTACAAGACGATTATAATTGAGTGATAATGCTGCTAGAACAACTGGCAAGTGATCAAAGGTAATAAAAAGTACTTTCATTTTTAACACTCAGTTTAGTTTCAGTTTCTTAAGAAAAATTGACAAAATACGAAACATGATGTACCACTGCTCGCAGTTAGCTACAGCTATTCAAGGCGAGCAGTGGCTTGACACATTAAATTAACTATTAACATACAAATTATACTAAGTGGATTAAAATTACAATACTAAGTAGAATTAATTATTATCATACAATACATTATAATAGGCTTACAGAACTAAGAATTAAGTAGGAGTAGTTACAATACTAATTTCAGAACTAAGTATTAAATAAGAATAATTACAATACTAATTTCAGATAATGAAACCTAGAAAACAAAGTAATAGTTACAATTAATTTACAGAACTAAGTATTACGTAGGAATAATTACAATACTAATTTCAGATAATGAAATCAAGAAAACAGAGTTTACTGAGATACAAAAGAGTAAAAAGGGAAAACAGAATAATGATAATAAATGAATATTGACCAATATAACATATGGGAAAGACAAAGATTCACAGGAGAATTAAACAGATTACATTAGAAGCTGGAAGGGTAATGCAGATTAGTTTAATTTTTAAGGCATATTCAAGTCCAGTATATCAATATACTCATTTGCCTCTGAGAGTTTCTGAAGGAGCATATTGTTAATCAACAACAAACATATGAAACATATGTATTAACTGCGGTTATGAAACATATATGTGCACGATCCTTCGCAGTAAAGCACTATTTGAGCAATAGTGAAAATCAGACCTGAAAAAAATTTCAGGCCTGTACGGGACTCGAACCACTGACCTCTGCGATACTAGTGCAGCGCTCTACCAATTGAGCTAACAAGCCAACTGGGAGCAGGCCATCAAATTAATTCGA